GATGGGGACCCCTCAGGGACGGGGAGCCCTCAAGGATGGGGGACTCTTCAGGGACAAGAGGGCTTGGGGGACAGGGGACCCTCAGGGGCAGGGGACCCTTCAGAGAGAGGGGACCCCTCTGCGACAGCGTCTCCTCTGGATTGGGGTCTTTCCAGACCGATCACCTTGAGTGCATGACCTCCCCCAGCAATCCCGCGCCCTGCCTCCGTCTCACTCACTGTTGGGGTCGACACGGGCTGGAGGGGGGCAGAAGGACATGAGACACTCCTGCGGTGGCCTGGGCCCCCCACGCCAGCACCTGGCTCAGAGGACACCTCGACCTGGGCGCTCCCATCGGAAGTGGGGAGGAGCCTGTGCACACAACCCCGCTTCCCTCACAGCCACCAAGACCTACAGGTTACGGAGGAAGGTCCCAGGGCAGCCCGCCCATCCCCCCTCTCGGAGCAGCTCTGATGTGACACAGTCAGGGCAGCGGGCCAGGGACTTTTTGACCCCCTGTGACAACCCAACGTTTCCCCGACCCAGACCCCCCGTGGCTCAGAGCCCTGTCCTCCCAGAGCGGGGGTTGCGTGCTCACGGTCACAGAGCCCCGAGTCTTGGGGATGCCGCGGGTCTGGCCGGGCTGTTTCCTCTGCGTGGGATTTGCCCTCCACACCTGAGCAGGTGGTTTAGGCGCTCACCCTCCCCACCTCTGCCCAGCCCTTCATCCGAGCCCGTAGGCTGTTCCCCTCGCAGTGACCCGGGAAGCCAGGGCATGATGCTGTTGTGTGCGGGCTCAGAAAGGTTGAGCCAGTGCCCGAGGTCACACAGCTTGGGAGAAGCCTGGGCCAGTTCACCCCGACCCTGGGCTCTGGTGCCTGCAAGACCCCTAAGGACAGACGTGAGGGGCTCGGCAGGGAGCCGGGGGCACCCCCCCCACCTTCTCCAGGACCTGGCTCAGCCCCAGCTCCCCACACAGGTGTCAGCGAGTGGGTCCCCACGGCGGCTCCCCTGGACGGTTTCTCAGGAGCGCATGGAACTGAGGGTTTGAGGGCTGTGCGTGCCCCTGGGGGCCTGTGGCCACCCCTCCAGGGGCGAGCCCCACGGCCACACCCACGGGCTCACGCACGCCCATCGCACACGCGCGTCCCTGACTCTGGGGCCTGCGGAACCCGAAGTTTTCCCTCAGGTTTGGCCTCAGGCCCCACGCACGCTCCGCCCGCGTGACAGCGGCTTCTCAGCGCCCTGTCTACTTTTGAATGCCAAGAGGGGGCTCCGCCGGTCAGGAGGGAATATCTTTATGGTAAAAAATGAGCCATGTTGCTTCAGCTCCAAGAGGGGTGGGTTCTGCCACGTCGCCCAGGCAGACTGATGAAAATCCTGCTTCATGAAGCCGTGGCTCCCCCATTAATTAGGGGGAGGGGGCCCTCCGCACGGCCGCACACCTCGCCCACGGCCAAAAGCTTGTCAACATTTTCCACGAAGAATGAAAATGTGAATACCTTTCAGATTATTCAATGTCACCAAGGTATGGAGAAAGGTCGCAGTGCTGGGTGTCATTTATCTCGTTGCGGATTTAAAGAGCTTTTTTCTATTAAATTTCTTAAAATTAATGTTTTATGTTGCTCAGAGTAATTTGAACAATTATGGGCTTAAAGAATTGATCATTACAGCCCCTGGGATTTAGCGTTCCAGACTGATTCCTTTGAAAACCCACTGATTTATAGCCTTGCTACTCAAGCAGGCAAGTCCCCAGGGTGTGGACCCCAACCCCCTCCTGTCCACATCTGGGGGGCCGGTCCCCCAACAAGCCGGCCAGTCCTCCTGCGGGGGGTGGGGTGGCGAGGAGGGAGGTGAAGCAGGGAGGGGAGCAGGTCTCAGGGAGGGAGATGTCCCTGCTTTGGGAATCATCCTTTGAGGTTTCCCCCCCTGTGCAAATTTTATACTTAAGGGAAGACCCTTTATGTGTCGGCTGATGTTATCATTTACACTATTCAGGTATTCACGCTTGATAATGTAATACATCGCTGGGTTCAGAAGTTAACAGGGGCGCCTGGGTGGTTCAGTCGGTTGAGCCTCGGACTCTGATCTCAGCTCAGGTCTTGACCTCGGGGTTGTGAGTTCGAGCCCCGAGCTGGGCTCAGCGCTGTGCGTGGAGCCTGCTTCAAAAAGGAAAAAAGAAAAAAATAGTTAACGACCCTGCCCTTCCTCACAAAAAGCTTCGCGAGCTCAAGGGGGCCCCGAATCCGCGACAGGGCGCCCCCACCCCAGCGTCTGCCAGCCGGGCGGCTGCCCTCCTCCTCACCAGCAATGCCGGTCGTCCTGGGCAGGGTCCTCCTGGGCACCCCTCCCGCCGCCACGCCGGCCCCGGGCCGCCCACACCCACCCGGCTAATGGGCTTTGTGGTCCCGGGATGGGACGTGGGAGCTGTGGTTCTGCCCAGCTGGCGCTCTGCTCGGATGGGGATACCGAGGACGGGGAGGCTCCGCGGGGACGGGGCGGCTGTGGGTCTGATGGCCGAGCACATCTGCCAGGTGCCTGGGTACGTCTCACGTGTCCCCTCCGACACCCGCCAGGGTCTCCGCGCTCGGGCTGGGCGGCCCCGGGGGTCTTGGGGGGGGGGAGGCCGCCCGCCCCCAGCTCCGCAGCACTGACTTGGCTCCGGGATTATCGACGCGCCGCCAGCTGGAGCGCGCTCGGCAGCAACGGCCAACAGGCGGAGAGCCCCGCGGGGACACTTAGTACTTTATTAACCTGTCAGCGCCTAAAAGGTCCCGGGCGGCCTGGGGGAGGGGCTCGAGGAGGAGAGGGGGCGACTTGAGGATTTACGCCCGCCCCCTCGGGGCCACCAGGTCAGACAGCGCCGGCTCCTGCGCCACCGGGCCCCCAGATCCCAACTCCGACCAGGCTTCTTTCTTCCCCGGGGGCTCCCTTTCCCCTCCAGGACCCCGCCCACCACCCCCTGGGTGGCCCTGACCTTTGAGCACCATCCTGCCCGGCTAACCCAGGACTGCTCACACTTCCGGGTGCCACGCCTTTGCTCCCGGTAGGTGCCTCCGACCCTCCTGCCCTGGCCTGGCTCTTCCCTGCCCCACACCCCCCACGGAATGGTTTCGGGGCCCCTGCGTCCTGCCCCGAATCTTCTCCTGGTGCCTCCCCGTTCCCTGTCCCGGGGGCTGCCCTGTGGGGGCACGTGAGCCTGCAGCTGCCGGGACCTTCCTCCCAGGAACGCAGCTCCTCCTTCCCAGCGTCAACCCCTCTTCCCTGCACTGGATGCTCATCCGCCCCCCCTCCCCCGACCGCCCCGGTGCCCCAAATGCAGTGGAGGCCCAAAGGGCCGGGTCGTGCCCTCCGGTGGCGCACCTGCCGGGCGAGGGGCGGCCCGAGGCGCACAGACCCTCTCCTTACATCTCCCTTGGAGGGGCTGCCACCTCTGTCTCCACCTCGCAGGAGGGCTCAGAGGGGGCGGCTCACTTCCCCAGCATCACACAGCAAGTCACAGATGGCGAGGAGTGGAGTCCAAGTTGGCAAGACCCCCACGACCACGTGCCGTGAACCTCCTGACCAGCTGACTCCACACCGTCCTCACCGCCGGTGCCTCTCCAGCTGTGAACACCTTCCCGGGCCGCCCCAGCCCCTGTCTCTCCCAGGGACCAGGCCCCAGCACCCCCTTCCCCATTTCTCCCACGTCTCCTTCCGGTGCTCAGAAGTTTGGCCAAGATGCAGGGACAGAGGGGCCCAATGGTGCCACCCCTGAGGAGGAGCTGCGGCTACTCCAACCGGAACTGCCCCCTCTGCCCCACGCACCCCTAGCCCCACTCAACACACGGACCCTCTAGACCATAACCGACAAATTTATTGAAGTCTTGGAAAGAGCTGATGGTCAAAGAGTACATAAAAACACGGGACGTCCACAGAACCAACAGGTAGCTTGGGATGCACGTTTGTGGGGATAGCTGGGCCTCACCCGCAGCCGGCCTGTGAGTCTGGGGCGGGCGGCTACACGCTGTCGCTGTCGGGGGCGGAGGAGGCGCCCCATCCTCAGGCAGTTAGAGCGGCTCCCAGAGGGAGAGCCTCGGGCTGTTTGGCAACGGAAATCGGTGGGCTGGGCGTGGCCTGGACACTGAGGGCCTGGGGGCGGCTGTGACAGGGAGGGAGGTCCCCACGGCCTTAAAGGTTGTTCGTGGAGAAGAAGGACGCCCCGGGAGTGGCATCTCTTCGGAGGGGCAGTGGAGTCAAGAACAGAAAGATCCAGAGCCAGCTGCCCCAGGGAAGAGGGGAGAGGAGGCTCCGGGGAAGGTGGGGGCTGGGGTCAGGGAGGCTCCCGGAGGGACCGGGAAGGACACAGGCGTGGTCCCCCCCTCGGCCACCGCCTGTCTGGAGAGAGGAGACCGACCCATCTCCGACCTCACGCGGGGCTACACAGCTCAGGCAGATGGAGCTTGGGAAATAAAAGCACGGTTCGTACTATTTTCTTGATTTTAGAAAGAGAAGCATCTTCCCGCCTGAGGACGGTGTGGGGTGAGGCCCGGAGTGAAGGCCCAGCCTGGGCGGGTGATGGTTCGGGTCTAGAAACAGCAAGCGTCCAGTTAATTGGTCCATAAAGGGAGGAATCTGCTTACAAAACAAGGCTCGCGGGTGGCTGCGGGCGGGCCGGCCCCATGTCCAGGGAGGGGGACGCCCTCTGCGCCCGAGGGAGGGGCTGCGGGGTGTGGCCCTCTCTCGAGGCCCTCATCCTGTCCTCCACTGCTGCCAGTGGCACCTGCATCCCGCGGAGGTCCAGGACTTCGGGAAAGGAGGGCCGTGCGGCTCCAGGCCACCCAGCCGGGGGCGGGGGGTGGGGCGGCACCGCAGCCCTCACCCCTCATGGCCGGCGCTCGGGGGAGCCGGGGGCCTCGGTCAGAACTGAGCGTGGTCCACCTCGTCCAGCCAGGAGGCAGGGCTGGCAGGGAAGTCGGGGTAGCCCCCGCTGCTCCCCGTGGACAGGTCAGAGCTGGGTCCGTTTCCTGCCAGCACCCTCATGGGCGGGGGCCCACCTGGGGCCCCTGCGGGCACCAGGCCCAAGCCGGCATCTGGGTATACTAAGCTGGAGAGAAGGGGTTGGGGGCCAGGGAGGCTCTGCAAGGCAGCTGGGGACGGGGGGACACCGTAAGGGCTGCCGGGCCGCAGCTCTCGGTACTGCTCCGGGCCGGCCAGGCCTCCGTGCTCCAGCGGGAAGCTGCCCGGGGCTCCCGCGGGCCTGCCCAGGGCTGGGGTGGGCTCCCCCAGGCTGCTGTAGAGGCCGCTGGCAGGGCCCATCTCGGCCATGTACGGCTCATCTGCAACGGAAGTGGATTGTGCAGCTCAGGGCCCGCC